GAGTAATATATGCATTATGGGAGTTATAGAAGGAGGAGAAAGACAGAAAGAAGCAGAGAGCCTTTTCAAAGAAATACTGGCTCAAAATTTCCAAAAGCTTAGAGAAAAAAACAAACACCAAGATTTAGGAAGCCCAAAGAATACCAAATAAGATGAAAATCCCATGCTTGGACACATTATAATCAGGATTGCCCAAGGTCGAAGACAAGGAGAGAATTTTGAAGGTCGCAAAAGGAAAGCACTTGTTACATTTACAGAAACCTCTTTCATCAGACTTTTCAAATAATTTTATAAGCACAAAGGAAGTAGAATGATAAATTCAAAATGCTGAATGAGCCAGGTGCGGTGGTGCACGTCTGTAATCCCAGTGGCTGGGGAGGCTGAGACAGGAGGATCCAGAGTTCAAAGCCATCCTCTGCAATTTAGCAAGTCACTAAGCAACTCAATGAGAACCCTGTCTCTAAATAAAATATAAAATGGGTCTGGGGATGTGGCTCAGTGGTTGAGTGCCCCTGAGTTCAATCCCCGGTACCGGAAAAAAAAAAAAAAAAAAAAAAAAAAAAGAAGAAGAATGCTGAATGAAAAATACTGTATATAGCAAAACTCTCCTCCAAAAAAAAATTAGCAGGGCACGATGGCACAAGCCTATAATCCCAGCAATGCAGGAGGCTAAGGCAGGAGTATCACAAATTCAAGACCAGCCTCAGCAACTTAGTGAGGCCCTCAGCAACTTTACAACACCCTATTTCAAAATAAAAAATGAAAGGGGCTGAGGATGTAGCTCAGTGATAAATTACCCCCATGTTCAATTCCCAGTACTGGAAAGGGGAGAAAGGTGGCGGGCGGGGGGGGGGGGGGGGGGGTGGGGGGGGAAAGCAAGAGAAGAAAAGACAGAAAAAAAAAAGTACAAAACTAACAGAAAGCAGTTAACAAAATGGCAATAGTAAAGCCTTCCCTATCAACAATATCTTTAAATATAGAAGGCTTAAACTCCCAATCAGAAGACACACAGAGTAGCTGAGTAAATTGAAAAAAGAAAACCCCCTTGTAATCCCAACAAATTGGGAGATTAAGGCAGGAAGATCACCACTTCAAGGTCAGCCCTGGCAACTCGGCAAGACCCTATCTTGAAATGAAAAAATAAAAGGACTAGGAATGTAGCTCAGTTGGCAGAGCACCACTGAGTTCAATCCATACTACCAAAAAAAAAAAAAAAAAGTCTTGTGAGTATTCTGTATTCTTGGATCAGACAAAATAAACTTGAAGAAACCGTTGCAAGAAACAAAGAACAACATTGTGTAATAATAAAAGAGTTCATTCACCAGGAAATAAACTAAATATGCACCCAACATCAGAGCACCTAAACATGTAAAACAAATATTAACAGAACTGAGAGAAGGGAGTTAGACAACAGTACAATAATAGTAGGAGACTTTAATACCCCACTTTCAGTTGTAGATAGAATATCTAATAAACTAGATATTATGTTTATAGCATTCTCTTACTAAAATCCTTTTCATTCTTATAGACCAAAATGGACCAGCAAGCATACACAAAACATTTCATTCAACAGCAGCAGAATACACATTCTTGACAAGTGTCCCCTTATCTTTCTCCAGGATATATCTTAATGTTAGTATTAAAACAAGGCTTAACAAATTTAAGAACACTGAAATCATATAAGTAACCTTTCCAAACATAATAGAAGGAAACTAGAAATCAACAGCAAAAAGGAAATTGAAAATTTCACAAATATGTGAAAATTAAACCACATACTCTTGAGCAACTATTGGGTCAAAGAAGGAGTCAAAAGGAAATTGAAAAATACCTTGAGATGAAGGAAAACACAACATATTGAAATTTCAGGGATACAGCAAAAGCAGTACTAAGAAGGAAATTTGCATGATAAATGCCTATGTTATGAAAGAAGATGTCAAGTAAACAACTTAACTTCCCACCTCAAAGAACTTGAAAATGAAGAACAAAATAAGCCCCAGTTTGGATGAGGGAAAGAAATAACAAAGACTAGTGCAGAAATAAATGAAATGGTAGAAGAACAGAGAAAGAAGACAACAAAATGAAGAGTTACTGTATTGAAAGGGTCAACTTGTGTCTGTGTGTGCATGTGTGTGTATTAATAGGAATTAAACAAAGGGCTTCACATACACTAGTAAAATTGGCTAACCCTTAAATAAAATAAAGATATGAAATAGATATTTTAACTGAAACCATAAGAATGAAAAGGATTTTAGTAAGAGAGTGCTATAAACAAAATAAATGCTAACAAATTGGACAATCTGGAATAAATGGATAAATTCCAAAAAAACATGCAGTCTGACAAGACCAAATCATGAAAACATAGAAGATCTGAACAGACCTCAAACTAATAAGGAGATAAAATCAGTTATCAAAAACTTCTCAACAAAGAAAAGTCCAGAATTAGATGGCTTCATTATCAAATTCTAACAAACACTTAAAGAATTAATGTTAAATTTCCTCAAACTCTTTCAAAAAATTGAAGAGGAGAACAAGTACAATATGATCAATGAGATCAGAATTACTCTGATACCAAAGCAGACCAAGATTTTTATGAGGAAAGAAAACTATAGGTCACTATCCTTGATGAGCATAGATGCAAAATCCTCTTCAGAGCATTTACAAATCAAATTCAACAGCACATTAAAATGATCATACACCATGACCAAATGGGATTTATCCCTGAGATGCAAGGATAGTTGAATATATGAAAAACATTTTAATATGATACATTAGACTAATAAAGGATAAAATTATGTTTTCTTAATAAATATAGAACATATGTTTGACAAAATTCAACACCCTTTAAAGAGTAAAAGAACTCAACAAAGAATAAAAGGAGATTACTTCAATGTAATACAGGTCATGCCTGAAAAGCCCTCAGCTAGCTAGGTACAATGGTGCATGCCTGCAATCCCAGTGACTGAGGCAAGAGGATCACAAGTTCAAGGGCAACTAAACAAGGGGTGAGGAGCCCTCAGCTGGAATCATAATCAAAGATAAAAACAGCTTTTCCTCTAAAATCAGGAACAATTCACAATGCCCACTCTGACCACTTCTATTCGACATAGTATTAGAAGTCGTAGCTAGAGCAATTAGGGAAGAAAAATAAATAAAGGTCACTGAAATTCAAAAGGAAGAAGTAAAATTGTTCCTATTTACATATATGATGAATTTATAAAAACCCTGAAGAGGGACTGGGGTTGTGGCTCAGGGGTAGAGCACATGCCTAGTGCGTGTGAGGTGCTGGGTTCAATCCTCAGTACCACATTGAATAAATAAAAAATAGATATTGTGTCCACTTACAACTAAAAATATATATATATACATTTAAAAAAAACCTGAAGAGTTGAGAAAATAACTTAGAACTAATAAATTAATTCAGTGAAGTTACAGGATACAAAACCAACATATAAAAAATCAGTTACATGTCTATATTATTAATAATGAACTATCTTAAAAACATTAAAATAATCCAATATATAACAACACCAAAAAGAATAAAATATCTAGTAATAAACTTAACTAAGGAGGTAAAAGTATATATTGAAACCCACCAAACATTGATAAAAGGAATTAAACTTTAAGACACAATGGAAGACATCTGTGCTTAGTATTATTAAAATATTAATACTTTCCAAAGTGATCTGTAGATTCAATGCAATCCCAATAAAAATTCCAAAGGCATTTTTAACAGAAATAGAAACAGAATTTTAACATTCATATGGAACCACAGAAGACCACAAATAGACAAATCAGTCTTGAGAAAGAAGAACAAAACTGGAGACATCACACTTCCTGATTTTAAGACATATTATCTCCAGATATGTTGTTGTGAGCCTATAGGATAGATAACTGTGGTCGAGAAGGAATAGCCGCCACTTTCTTTAGAGACTAAAGATGGGAGAAAGAATGTAGTGGGGGGGGGATGCAAATAAATGTAGAGACGTTCAGGAGAAGAGTTTAAGAGTTGAGGTTTATACTGTTGTTACATGGAAAACAATGATTTGCTGAAAGTGAAGCTAAAAAGGGAAAAAAGCTAGGAAATGTGGGTCAAAAATGTACCATTTCTTCAAGTTTTGGCAGATATTTAAAAGTTCATATAACCATTTATAATTTACGTTGGCACCAAACATGATGGCACATGAGTGATGGTGTATGCCTGTAATCCCAGTGACTCTGGGGAATAAGGTAGGAAAGATCATAGAATTGGAGAACAGCCTCAGCAGTTTAGTGAGACTCTGTCTCAAAATAAAAAATAAGGCTGGATACAGTGGTGCATGCCTATAATCCCTGCAGCACTAGAGGCTGAGGCAGAAGGATGATGAGTTCAAAGCCAGCCTCAGCAAAAGTGAGGCACAAAGCAACTCAGTGAGACCCTTTCTCTAAATAAAATACAGAATAGGGCTGGAGATGTGACTCAGCACTCAAGTGCCCCTGAGTTCAATCCCTGGTACAATCAATCAATACATAAATACATACATATATAACATACATAAATAGAGCTGGGAATATGGCTCATGGTTAAGCACCCCTGGATTCAATCCCCAATACCAAAAAAATTTTTTAATGAGAGAGAAAATTAAAATTGGCATAGGACTTCCAGTATTGGTTATTTATAATCATGTTCTTAGTTTTTCCTTGGAGATTAACATGACTAATTACCTAATTGCACCTCTTTAAAATGTAATGAGGGGTGAGGATGTGCTGAGGTTGTGGCTCAGTGGTAGAGCACTTGCCTGGCTGTGTGAGGCACTGGGTTGAATTCTCAGCACCACATATAAATAAATAAAATGCCAGGCATCGGAAAGACAAAGGTGAATAAAATATTTTGCCCTTGAAAAAAATATAATGAAAGATAATAGATATTCACACTTAATTGGAAGAGCTATTTTGGAGGCAAAAGATACTTTCTTTGCCAAAGAATAATGATGATACTGATTTCATTTTTCTTTTCTGTCCAGGTCATGTATGGAATGTTGGTCTTTACATTAGTACTTCGATCTATTTATATTGTTACATGGTAAGTAGTTTGGATCATCAACCATAAATATATTCAGGCTTATGACAGTAAATCTATAGCCTACATTAAAATAAATCACAAAACCTAATTCCAACAGAGATATTGATAGAAAACTGTAACCCAACATTATTATTGTATAAGAAATACTAGTTCTTCAGGAAGTTGTTAATGGGCATCATGTGAAAACAAAGAGTTCCAAAATTAAAGAAATCTGAGGAAAGCTGTAAATGATGGCATCTTTTGAAATTGTATATTGCTCACTAGGATATTAAAAACCTTGAAAAATTCTACAGTAAAAAAAAAATATTGTTTTTATCTTTCTCAAACTTATTTGACTAGGGAGCCCCTTTTATACAACACCTCTCAAGGAAGGGATGTTAGTGTCACAAAGAAATAGCATTCCATGGAAGATAGTTTGGGAAATGGGCATAATCTTTAATAAGAGTTCAGTTCATGAAATTTTAATAAAAAACAACATTCATAAGAGTACCTTAATAAGTCCTGGCCATATAACATATACTCAATAAATTAAGTAAGTAATATGATTTGTGGATTTGTTCTCTTTTTGTTTTGTTTTATTTTTTAAATAAACTTTTCATGAGATAATTGTAGGAATACATTATTTGCAGACATAATAGAGATCTCTATCACTTTATGAATTTCCTCCAGTGGTAACATCTTTCAGTACTATAGTACAACATCACAACCAGTATTTGACATTAATACAGTCAAGATACAAAACATTTCCATCATCACAAGAATTCCTTTGTTGCCCTTTTATAATCACACTTATTTCTGTCACACACCCCACCCTATTCCTGTACTTAACTCTTGGTAATCATTAATCTGTCCTCCATTTTTGTAATTTTGTAATCAAGAATGTTATATAAATATAATCATATAGTATATAGCCTTTTGAGATTGTTTTTTGAACTCAGCATAATTCTATGGAGATTAATCCAAGTTGTTGAGTATATTAGTAGTTCATTCCTTTTTATTGCTGTAATTCCACGATAGAGGTGTACCACAGTTTAACCATTCACCTGTTGAATAACGTCTAGATTGTTTCTAGTTTTAGGCTATCATAAATAAAGCTGTTATGAACATCTGTATATAGGTTTTCATGTGAACACAGTGTTTATTTCTTCTGAAATAAAGGCCCAGAGTGGAATTGCTAAGAATTACATTTGGTGATTGTATGTTTAGTTTTTCTCAAAGCTGTTGAACTGTTTTCCAGAGTGTCTGTACCAATTTTTCATTACCAACAACAATGTATGAGTGATGCAGTTTCTCTGCATCTTCACCAGCATTTAGTGTTAGTGCCATTTTTTAATTTTTATTCATTCTAATACTAATATCTTATGCTTTTTTATTTTGCATTTGCCTAATAGTTAATGATGTTAAATATACCTTCATATGCTTATTTGCCATCAGTATATGCTCTTCATTGACTTATCAATTCAAGTCTTTTCCCATTGCATGCTTATTTACAATAAGGATTAACAAAGATAGTTTCTCTTGCTAATTACAGTTGAGTGGGGGGTTTTTTGTTTTGTAAACATATTCTTTTTTTGTTAGAGCTTCATGGTTATACATAGTAGTTAGTTTTACCATTGAGTTTTGAAATTCCAGATTGAGAGGAAATAATTGCAAACCAATTATTTCCTCTCAATCTGTACCTTGAATTTTTACCTTATTTACAGGGTTTTTTAATGAGCAAACATTTATTTTATTTTAATGAGTTCAAATTTTCAATTTCCCTTTTGCCAATCATGCTTTGGTGACAATTCTAAGAACTCTTTTCCTATCTGTAGATTTCAAAGATTTTCTCTTACGTTTTTATAAAAGACTGAATGGTTTTTCATTTCACATTTAAGTTCATAATTCATTTTGAGTTAATATTGTATAAGGTCTGAGACTTAAGTTGAATCTCTATTTTTTTACCCACGGATTCCAACTGGTCCAAGAAGATTGATTGAAAAAACTGTCCTTTCTCAATTGAATTGCTTTTACATCTTTGTCAAAAAGTATTTGGGTGGCTGGGCAGGGTGGCATTAAGAGATATATTAAACATGCATGTCAATTTGCAGAGTTGTTGGGCCTTTGAGTCCATGAACAGAGATTGTCTCTTGATTTATTTAGATCTTCTTTTATCAACATTGTATAGAATTCTCATTTTTTAAAGCAATTATAAATGGTATTTATTTTTGTTTCATTTTGGGTTTTTTTGTTTGTGTACTGTGGTGCTTAGGGGTTGAGTCCAGGACCTTGTTCATGCTGGGCAAGTGCTCTACCACTGAAACACAACCCAAGCCCTATTCTGTATTCTGTTAATACAGTGGATTGCATTGATTGATTTTTCAAATACTGAACCAGCCTTACATTCTGTGACAAACTGCACTTAGTCATGGTGTATAATTTTTTCTTATATATTGCTGAATTTTATTTGTTAATATTCTATTAAGGATCTTGTGTCTAGATCATGAATGACATTGGTTCATGTTTGTATGTACTGTGATCCATTTTTGGTATCAGTATTACTAATTTCATTAAATGAATTGAGAAATGTTATTCCCTTATATTTTCTGGAAAAATTTGTGTAGAATTAGTGTTAATTTTTCTTTAAATGTTTGATATAATTCCCCATTGAAACCATCTGGGCCTGGAGATTTATATTTTGGGGCATTAAAAAAATTACAAATTCACCTTCCTTCATAGTTATGGGCTATCCAAAATGATCAATTTCATATTGGGTGAATTATGGTAGTTTGTGTTTTTGAGGCATTGGTCCCCTTCCTCTAAGATGTCAACATGTATGTGTATAGAGTTGGTTATAATAGTCTCTTATCTTCCTTTTAATGTCTGCAGGGTTTGTAGTAATACTCTGTTTCATCCCTCATTTTAGTGATATGTGTGTTTTCTCTCTCATGGTCAGTCTTTCTAGAAGTGTCTTAAATTGTATTGCTCCTTTAAAATATATTTTTTTTTTTGTTTGATTGATTCCCCCCCCCCCGCCGCATTTTTTCAGTTTCATTGATTTCCACTCTTTATTTTATTCTACCTTTGCTTTTTGTGGGTTTGTTTAGCTCTTCTTTTTTTAAGTTTTTGGGGTAGAAATTTAAGTCATTGATTTCAGACTTCCCCTTTCCTAATGAGTTTCAGTATGCTATAAATTCCTCTCTTGCCACTGCTTGAGCTGAGTCTCACATTTCCTATGTTGTATTTTCGTTTTTATTCAGCTCAATGTGTTTTTTTTTTTTTTAATTTCCTTGAGACTTTTTCTTGATCCATGGATTATTTAGAAGTGTAATATTTAGCATTCAAGTGTTTGGAGATTTTCTTGTTATCATTCTTCTTGTCTTCTAATTTTATTCCTTAGTAGTCAAGGAAGTATTCTGTATGTTTTCATTTCTTTTAAATTTTTCAGGCTATGCCAAAAATATTTATACCAATTAGAAAAGAATGTGTATTCTGTTGTTGAGTGAAATTTTCTACAAATGTTGATTAGATATCTGTGTTGGTTAATGTATCAGGTTTCCCCAAACCACCCTCAGGTTCAGTGATTCACTAGAACTTACAAAACTCAGTAAAGTTGTTATGCCCATAGTCATGATGTATTACCTAGAGATCAAACTGATATAGCATGGCTGAAGACCCCAAGCAAACAAAAACAAGTGTTCATTGTAAATCATATTATTAGCATAAGCTATCTGGCATGACCCAACATGTCAGGTATGCAAAGACTTTTCATTTTTGTCTTTTTGGACAGGGGTTGAACACAGGGGTTCTTTACCACTGAGCTACATCCCCAGTTCTTTTTCTTTTTATTTATTTATTTATAATAATTTTATTTTACTTATTTATTTTTATGTGGTGCTGAGGATCAAACCCAGTGCCTCGCGTGTGTTAGGCAAGCACTCTACCACTGAGCTACAGCCTCAACACTGGGTCATGTTCTTTAATCCACTCTTTCAGACTCTTGTAATTGGTGTGTTTAGATCATGTGCACTTATGTAATTATTATTATGTTGGGTCTTAAATCTGCCATTTATCTTTATATATATATATATATATATATCCCTGTTTTCTTTTTCTCACCTTCCTGCGATTTACTTAAAAACTTTGGATTTTCATTTTAGTGTATGTAGAGTATTTGTATTTCTTTTTGTATTGCTTTTTAGTGGTTGCTCACAGTATTATATGCACATACTTTGTCAGAGTCTAATGTTTCCATTGAAGTGCAGAAATCCTGCATCTCTTTTATGTACCTATGCTTTCTATGCTTGTGTTTCCTCAGGCTGCCATAATAAAGTACTACAAGATAGGTAGCTTTAAAAAAAAAACAAAAAACCTGAAATCTGTTGTCTCACAGTTCAGGAGGACAAAAGTCCAAAATGAAGATACCTCAGGGCCATGCTTCCTCTGAAATTGTTAGGGGTATCCTTCCTTATAACGCTTCCTTGCTTCTGGTGGTTTTTCTGGCAACTTGACTTGCAGCTTCATAGCAGCAATTGCTACCTTTGCTATTACATGGTCTTCTCCCTGTGACTTCACATGACTTATCTTCCTATAAAAATATCAGCCACCTTGGAGAAAGAGCCTACCCTACTTCAGTATGACCTCATTTCATTTAATTTTATCTGCAATGATCCAGTTTACAAATAAGATCACAATCTGAGGTACTAGGGTTAGAAATTCAATAAATCTTTTGATGTTTGGCGTGGGGGTGGGGGGGGGTGACAATTGAAACCATCATTGTGTTAACAACCCTGTGGTTCTTATGCTTCAGCATGAGAAGCGTGTAGGGAGACAAAATACCAAGGTGAATTAAAAAAAAAAAATTACAGCTATGTGGTATCTACAAAGTAGGTGAAATACAGTCTTCTTCGTGTCATTTCATGTAGTCAGACCTGTACCCTTTTTCATGGATCTTCATGCAAAAACGTCTTATCATGTTAGGTCTCCGCCTCAAGGTGTGACTTTTTTTTGAAGTAACAAAA